CTCCACTCATCTGTCAAAATGATCTTCCTAAATTGAAGCTGTGACCATGTCACCCCTATACTCGTAAAATCCTCTGTTTGGTGTTAAGAGCCCCTCATCATCTGCTTCTCTTCCTCCTTTCCTTCCACCCTAATCTTTCCACTCAGTACTACTGTGACCTTGGCCTACTTGATGATACCCTTTTTTCCAACTCTGGGCATTTTCACTGGCTGTCCCTGCTGCCAGGAATACTCTCTCTCTTCGTCTTTGTCTCCTGGCTTCCTTCAAGTCCCAGGTAATATCCTACATTGTAGAAGAAGCCTTTCCTGTTATCTTTTAATTCTAGTGCCTTTTGAATGTTGATTGTTTCCAATTCCTGTTTATAGCATGTTTGTACATAGTTGTTTGCATGAAAGCAGAAACTTATCTTTTGTGTTTCTTTGTATCCCCAGCTTTTAGCACAGTGCCTTCCCCTTTCTGTTGGGCTTATGCTAGTACTGACCCAAGTGCCTTAGAGTAGCAGCTGCACAGGGAAAATTCTCCCTACTTATCAGGCCTCTAGAAATGTGGGCTCTTTGCTCTGGGAGCAGTGACCTGTGCATAAGAGCCCTACATCTTTTTATTTGAAATGGTACTGTGAATTGCACTGGGTGAACCTGCAGGGATGAGTTGACATCTCTAGCACAGATTTCATTACATTATCTTTTCTCTAAAACCTACCTGTCTTCTACCCTGCTTTTGCTGCTCCTGCCACTGCCTCATACTGGACTATAGAAGACCATGCCTCGGAGGAACTAAGCCACTCTCCCTGGGACCGTGGCTTCAGCCTGACCATTTTCGGTTTTGCAGCCTTGCTGTGCTGCTGTAGACCCTCCACCCACCCCTTGCTCTGAGAGCTACATAATCTAATAAATTCTACCCCATTGTCTCTGGAAAAAGACGTGTCAGGGGACTGCCCTATTGTTGCATTCATGACTGCCCTGTTCTGTTTACCATCTTTGTGACTTTCCAGATCATAATGCCTTTCCCTGACCACCAACAAAATAAATAAATTGCCCCAATTGTGTAATCTTCTCCCATTATATTGTAAACTTCTTGAGGGCAAGGATTGTCATTTTTTTTATGTGTATGCCCAGTTCTTTAGCACAGTGTTTGACACATAGTAAGCTCTTAAAAATGCCTTTTTTCTTTTCTTTTTTTTCCTCATTGCTTTCCTTTCTTTCTTCCCTTTCTCTCATTTATTCAGATTTACCATATTCCTCAGGACATGCACAGGGATTTTTCTTTTTCTTTTTTTAAAAATAATGTGTTCAATCTCAGTGCTTTCATCAAAAATATTATTATTAATGTTTTAATAAGAGCTGAAAAGGTTTTTATACCACTAATGAAGTTACATTTTTTAAAAAAATTGTTTCATTTTTATATCATTAAAATTTTTATTTTTGTGTATATTTAATGACATTAGTATAGTAATACATATATGATTTATAAACAAATGTGCATATATTATAGGTATACACTCAAAAATTTTTACTGATGAAATCTAACAAAAAGTTTATCACTATTTAAAAGATCACTATTTTAAAAAGCACAGTTAATAGGTAATTCACAGTAGTAGCTAGTCCTCAAATAATTTATTTTTTATTTACAGATCATTATATTACTTTAGAAGATAGGATCTGTGATTTCATGAGGAAACTCACCTTACCAATGCAGATTGTCACCTTCTCCTCAAATTACAGTCTTAGAGAGTTACGTGAAGCATTGAGGAGTTAAGTGACTTTCCGAGGGTCACATGGTCATTGTGGGTCAGAAGCAAGACTTAAACTCAGGTCTTCCTGATTCAGAGGTCAGATTTCTATCTACTACCCTATACTGCCCATCTTGTATTACTTTAATAATCATAATAACATGTTTTTATAGTCTGTTACTTAGTTATGTCCTTATAGTTAATACTTAAAGTAAACCTGTGATCTGATCAATATGGGTACATACTACCTTCATGAATACAGAATGCAGCCTTTTTATGTGGTATGATTCTTGCTCATGTATTTCTGTAAATTCACCCAACATACTGGAGGCCTTCTTCGGACTTGTTTAGTATCTTAAGGTGTACCATTGTAGCATTCGGTTTAGTTAATATTAAGATTTGTTGAGTTAATATTAAAATAATTACGATTACTATTGGACCAGCCGTTGCTGGTACTCCTGATGAGGTAACTTCTATTGGAGATCAATACTCACTCTGTGAACTCTAGTCTTAGAAGGTGACCTGGGTATTGAGAGAGGTTTAGTGACTTGCCCAGGGTCTCTCAGCCAGGATGTGTGAGGGATCAGGCTTTTACTCAGCTGCCTGATGGCAATACAAGCTCTTCATACACTATGCAACACTGCTTTTCTAAAATGAAAATTATTCCTGGTTTAAAATAAGCACAGGTAATATTAAAGGTTTGCAACACAATTCCAGCTGATTGTTGGGGCAGGTGGTACAGAAATATATTTTCAGTTGTCAGGGAAGTAGTCTGGGACAAAAACATTGAATAATCTATATACTGATAATCAAGAGCTAACTGTAATTCTGTGCCTTTGCCAAATGGGGAAAAGAACACTTTCTTTTATGTGGTTTGGGTGAAGGAAGAAAAAAGTGTAGTGATTCGTTATGGTAAGAGAATCCTGAAATGAGGGGAAACTCAACAGTACATTGTTGGGTGAAAAAGTTCTCACGTGTAGTATATAGTTCAGTGGTCAGAGTTTTTCTTTGAGTCTGTGAACAATTAGACTTTGTTGGATTTCCGTAAACTTTCCATGACAGAGGATTTCATTGTTAAGAGCATTCTTGCCACTGATGCAGCTCACAAGGCCTTCATAACTCATTAGAAGGTCATTAAGATTTGCTGATCACCCTGCAGCCCACCTGGTAATTAGTCCCCCGAATTTAGCACGATCCTTGGCCAGCAACCGTACAGCCTTTTACCAGCCCCATGCTCAGGATTTTTGCAGCATGGAAGTACCTGCTTGAGCTTGTGCTTTGCTGGCCTGGCCTTTGAGAATTGGCGTTTCTCTTCATACTGCAATGACGTATCAAAGTAGGACTTTAGTGGAAGATTACCATCTTTTTTTTTTTGGTTTGCTTTTTTGGTGAGGCAGTCAGGGTTAAGTGATTTGCCCAGGGTTACACAGCTAGTAAGTGTCAAGTGTCTGATGCCCATTTTGAACTCGGGTCCTCCTGACTCCAAGGCCAGAGCTCTATCCCCTGTACCACCTAGCTGCCCCGAAGATTAAAATCTTAAAAAGGATAAATTTTGTGAATGTCTGGGGGACTTAATGTAGACATTAGTTTTCTCAGGGCTTGTCAGGGATTTGGAGGCCCCAAAGGAGAATTAGGTAAAAAGTCTCTGATTGGAATGGTAAGATCAACTAGAGGGAAATTTGAAAAATGTTACAGATGAGTACAATAGGCATTCTGTATTGTAGTTGAAGTAAGTTATCTCTTCCACTGGTTACAGGCATGGTGCCTCCATAATCTAGAAAATCTGTGTAAAGTTTTTTAGCTCTCCCTTCATACCAGAGAAGTCTGAATTTTTTCTTTCTCTTTTATGGGGTGTTTATGGTACCTTATTGTAAAATTTGGTATACGGGCCGCACGCCGACCCTCTGCCAGTCGTGCGCCAGTACCCACT